GGGTACAAAAGCTTCGTAGACTTGGCTTTTTGATAATTATTCTATAGTTTTTTCTGCTTTTGAAGAAATAAAAGACAATAATTTAAAATAGTACAATGAAGAAACATCTTTAAAAGCATCTTCTTTTATGAAGTTATTGACAATTTTTTTTTTTTATAGTTTCTTTAGTTTTAACTGAAACATTTAATGGATTACTTTTATGGAATTTTTGTCACCCTTGAAAATAAATCTTTTGATATTTCCCAGCAACTGGTATAAAATTAAGAGCAATTTTATACATACAATTTTTAGCATTGGCTAAAACATTTGATATTGATGGAAAAAACCTAGAACATGTGGTGTTTAAAAGCATATAGGTAATTAAATATTTGATACTGTTTCTGATAGTTTAAATTTTCTATTACATTGCCTTTTCTTAATCATCTTCTTAATGAACTAAAAAATAGGTTTGATATTGAGAGATTAATTGTTTATAATGTTCTTTGTGTTATTCCTGCTAGTTTTATAAAGTAAATTTTTAGATATTGTCTATGGAAAGAAAAGTTCCTAATATTTTTGAATTTTTTTAAATCTGATCTTCCTCATTTCTCATCAATTAATGCTGAATTAGAGTTAAAGGTGGAAATTTTGGAATGAAAAGACAGAATTACCATCTACTATTTCAGATACATTTAAGTTTAGGGATATGAGAGGCTTTCCAAACATTTTAGAGGCATTTCATATACTTGCTACAATACCAACCACAACTTGTTAGTGTGAAAGGTCAATATCTACTCTTAGGAGAATAAAAACTTACATGAGAGTAAGATGTCAGAAAATAGATTGAATGGACTTACTTTAATGTCTATCTAATGTTATTGAAATATTTGCATCCAAAGGAGACAAAAAATTAATGTTTTTATTCAAATAAAAATTTTGAATTTTTGAGTAAAAAATTTAAGTACTGTTTTAAAAGTACTGTTTTATCTCGTAAATGTAAATAATTTCTCAATAGCAAAATATTTATACTCATTGTTTTAAACATGTATACTGTGAAAATCATTTTTTATTAGCAAATTATTACTATTCATTGTTTTATATAAACTGTGAAACTCATACTTCATTTGCTATTTCTTTTAATTCCTAATGTTGAAAGTGTTTTCATGTGATTTATTTTGTTACTTTTTTGATTGATGCTTTATTTGTTGTATTATATTTTGTCTTGTTTATTTATTAATTAAAATTTATTTAAAAAAAAAAAAAAAAATTTTTTAAATGTTTTAAAAATATTTGTACATAACTGCCTATCAAAAAAAAAAAATCCAGAAATAGTGGGCTAACCTTAGGCAACACGACAGATTACTGATGGAGTGCAAAGTCCTATGGCTTACCTTCTCGTTGGTGCACTTCGTTAAGTAATTTAGACAAGTACTATGTCTAATTTTTGAACTAAATAGCCAAGGCAATATTTTGAATAACTTTATTATTAAATGGATAACTAAAAACAATACAAAATAAACTTTAACACGATTGACTCGATTGTTTAGAATAACTTTGCATTAGCAGAATATTGTCAAACAAACACGAAGTAAATAGATTTCAATTACAAGTAAAAAGTGAAATATCTGATTTACAAGTCGACTCCTCATATATAACATTTTTTTACCTATAATGCTTTTTAATATTTTATGTAATAATTAATAATTTTAAAAATGTATGTGTTTTTGAATTACACAATTGTTTAGAGAGTTTATTTCTAACGAGAAATATCAAAATTTAGTGTTTTTTTTTTCAAACAGAAAGCTATTTCTACTGAATAAGATTAAAATATGATATAATTTGTGTAAGTCTATGTATATAATATGAATGATCTCTTATTAATTTTATTAATTGATTCCTTATATAAAAATTCGTCGGAGACGAATTCGTCGCTCATTTCGTCTACAACAAAACAACAAAGATTTTAGCCTCAAGCGTGAAAACTATTTTACTTATTGTAATAATGGCGCTCTCAGATTATTAAATCTAGAGTAGTTAAGTAAAGTAGGTTAGTCTCCCTACGTATTAAAGTTTAAAAAAATGATACATAATGAGTAAGTATCCCACTTACTCATTATGTATCATTTTTTTACTTCATCGGTCCTTCCCACAGAAAAAAACAAAAGTAAAGAAATTTATCTTAAAATGAGAGGAGGGAATAGGGTGATGTCATCCGCTCTTCCTCCACTGGCCAATATCGAATTGTATTTGGTAATTTTAAATATAGTTGGCAAATTTTGACATTTTAAAGTCGGCATATGTAAAAAATTTAAATTTTAAACTTTTTTTTTTGTCGTTTATCGTTTATGGCACTTCCCCCTCCCCCCTAATCACTCAATAAAAAAAAAAAAATTAGCTGTTCGCGCCGTCCGCGAACCCGGACTTGGCCACACAGTTACAAATTCCTGGATCCGCGCCTGTATATATATATGTGTGTGTGTCCTTCTTTTCCACAAATAATATTAGATTAAAGTTTCGGTAAAAAATGTTTAGTTTCAGGTTATTTTTTTTACCATACAATTTTTTGAAAGAGCCACTTTTTTATGCTATGAAAAAGCCGGCCTTTTCTATTCAGCTTTTTTTTTTAATTAAATAACTGTTTTGCGCATTAACGACTTCATTGTTTTTCGTAATGCTACATTGATCATATTCTATTGAAATTAATTGTTTGAATGACTTTCCTAAAGTCCTAAAACAAGGTGCGTCTGAATCTAAAAAAATATATTCAAATAATAATAAAATTTTTACTAAAGCTGAAATAATTTTTTTTTTTAATAATTAAATATTATTTTTGTTTCAAATTTCCAAGCATTTTGTCAAAACTTATTTTGTATTATTTAATAGACGACTTGTGCCGGCTGGGCCCAGCAGGCACAGTCGTCTATTAGACGTCTATTTCGCTACTCATTTGTCTTTAGACGTCTTAGACAGTTATGAGAAATCTAAAAAACGTCTTAAATAAAGATGTCTGAGACATGCTCTCCAGTAGACGTCTTGAAGATGTTTTAATTCTTGCGTCTTACAAAAATCACGTTTACGACGTCTTCTAGACGTCTAAAATTTAGACATCTTGAAGTAAATTATATTCATTCATTATTTCAGTCAAATTTGAACAAAAATGAATCGAGTCGATTAGGTTATATTCTAAACTAAGTAAATTTTTATCATGCAAAATTTTTCATGTATTTTTTTTTCTATATGCTGCAGAATAGATTATAATTAATAATATTATATTAATAATATAATAAGTAATAATAGAACCTATAATATTCGGCTATATTAATAGACTATACAAATATTCACTCATGATGATGTTAATATAGCCTAAAACATTTATCATGAAATGATAAATGTTTTAGGTATATATCTAAAACATCATTTCATGATAGGCTATATTAACACACATAGTTAATCGTGAATCATGAGTGACTATTTGTATAGTCTATTATTATAGCCTAATATTATAGGACAAACATACAAATTATATACGTATAATATTTGTTGCATGATAGTTTCCATGTTTGGCATTATTAAATATATTTTTAAAAATTACTATTTTATTTTGCAAACATATAATATAATAAATGTATAACAATAAATTATTTTATTCACAAATATTATGATATTAGTTAATTAGTAAGAGTTTCTTGTGATTTTTCTGGGTCTTGGAATAACAACTTCTGAAATATTTTTGTGGAATGCCTCGACATAAAAGTGATTGTTTATTATTGTAATTAGGTATTTACATTTATCAAATGATAGGTTAGTAATATTATTTTAATATAATTTTTTTTTATTTGTTTTATTTGTCTTTATTTTCTTATTTTTATATCTTTATTAAAATTTAAATTTGTTATTTCTCATAAGTTTTCTCATTTATCAAATTTTTGAATATTAAAATGTGGTCACTCTGTGTGTGGAAAGAAAACTCTAGAGTCATTGAAGATGTTGTTCCTCATAGTTGGATTGAGGCTGGTGTATTGCGTTGGCCACCAAAAGGATTTTCCGGGAAAAAAGCTATGAATAAAAGAATTCCACCTAGTGATAATAGGCTATCTTTTCCAATTTTAAAAATAAAGTTGACACATGGTTAGTTATTTAAATTTATTAATTTGATATTTACTTTCTAATTCAAATATTGCATCATCATATAAAGGCCAGCTTAGCTGTTTTGTAGACCTGGGGGAAAACACAATCCTTATTTTATGGAGAATTAATTAGACAAAACTATAAATCTATTTAATTTGTTAATTGTTTTTAGTTTTAAATATGTTTTTTAATAGGTTTAAAACAGTTGTTTTTTGTCTTTAAGATTCAAAGGTTTTTTAGGTTAAGAGATCAGATGTTACAGTCCCCTTTTTTTTTCTCCTCCTGGGCCATAGCAAATGCCACATCTGCACTGTAGATAATCTTGTCCTGCATAACATGTTTAAACCTTAAACATGTATTACACATGTTCAAGGTATGTTCAAAAATGTATGATGTGTACATTTTATAGTTGTATTGATTTAATAGTTTATAAATATTTTGTAGAGGATAAAACTGAGTGCATGGCATGTGAGTATACAAGTCAGGATGAAGGAATAAAGGAGAAAAAAAAAACATCAATGAGATTGAGTTTCAAGAAGTTGGAATTGATTTACCGGTGTTTCATGATGATACAAATTTTAAGCGCTTAGGAAATAATAATACTTCACACCGAAAGCGAAAAACACGTTCAATAAGTGATAGTGATGATTGTGACGACTCAACATTGGAATCTCCAATTATAAGAAAGGTTTTAAAACAAAAAAGTGCTATCATAAATGGTAATTATTTAATTATTATATGTAATAATAATTTCTAAATTGACTCATAGATTACATAGATATACATAGACATAGACTAAATAGATATAGGAAGTTTAAATTATTTTTAGAAAAAGACAGAAAAAACCTTTTAAATTTTTTCCATTTCAGCAGAATTATTTCCTTTGGATAAAATAATTCAAGCTCCGAGCATAACATATCCAATATCAAATGCTAGTAAGTTTGTGTTATTCAATTATTTAAAAATTTTAAACATCAATTGAATTAGAAAGTTGATTTATTTTATGTTTTATTAAATTTATTTATTGTGAGAGAAATTGATAAAATTAAATAGTAGGGAGCTCAATTTATTTGGTATTCCAAATAAATTGAATAAATATTCCAAAATCCAAATTTTAATACTAAATAAGTTGAGAATATTGTTTGAAATGTGTCTAAATATTTTAAAGTTTATTATAATTTTTAATGATAAATAGAAAAAGAACAAATTTTTTTAGGTTTTCAACAATAAGTTCTTGCATTTCAAGAAAAAGTTGTTAAATGGATAAGAGATATATCAAATAATTTATTAAAGATAAACTTCAATTGCTCAACAAACTCCAGTATCTTTATTTGATAATGAGTGTGTAAAATCAAAAGAGGAGTTTTTTCTGTTTGAAGAAAATATGAAAGTGGATTTATTCGTAGAAGAAAAAGTAAGATTATTAAATATATCGGTATTATTTAATATGTATATACTAATGTGTCGGTATACACACATATGTGTATACCGACATATTAATATATACATGCGTGTTAGGGCTCTACGAATTTTACTTCTTAGATTGTACAACTAAAGCAAATAGGAGGGCTTGACTATAAAGATACAATAAAGAACATAATGAAGCAATTTTTTTCCGATTTTGCCATGCGTATATATATATATATATATATATATATATATATATATATATATATATATATATATATATATATATATATATATATATATATGTATATATATATATTATATATATATATATATATATATATATATATATATATATATATATATATATATATATATATATATATATAAATATATATATATATATATATATATATTTATGTTTATATATATATATATATATATATATATATATATATATATATATTTATGTTTATATATATATATATATATTTATGTTTATATATATATATATATATATATTTATTTATATATATATATATATATATATATATATATATATATATATATATATATATATATATATATATTATATATATATATATATATATATATATATATATATATATATATATAAATATATATATATATATATATATATATATATATATATATATATATATATATATATATATATATATATATATGTTTGTGTTCTGTCAGAACCTCTGGCGCGGTGTTGACTCACCCGTAAGTTGATTTATGTTTATTATTTATGTTTGTTTGTGTTCTGTTTATTCTCTGATGCAGGATGAGCTCAGTAACTAGCTACTTACTCCAACTAAAAAACCTACACTCACCTTAGACTCCTGTATTTTGTTAGGTGCAATGTTTTTCCTAATGCACTTTCAAAATGTCATGCCTGGTTTTCTTAAAGTACTGTTGCGGGAAGTAACTCCTTTTAACTACTCCAGGTCAGGTCAGGATAATCAATATCAATCTTGCTACTGGTATCACGTAACCCAGTACTACCTGCCACAAGCCCTGCTGCCTTGCAGAGTGTGCTCTTCTTTGGCAAAGGCTAGGAGAAATAAACTCCGACTAAAAATTCCCCTGCTTTGGGGCTCTTGATTGAGTAAAGGCTAGAGATGGTGTCTCGATAAAAACACTCATCTTGGGCAGATTTTAACTTCATCCAGCTACTGTCTTGTAGAAGGCCTCCTAGGCAAAAACTTTAGGGGTAAGCAGAAAAATTATGCACGAACCGCTTCTTCATATATTAGAATGGCGTAGATGTAACCTGTGATGTTACATTGTTTCCTGCCTAGGATGATGAATGCTGGATCTCCTTGACTTTACTCATAGAATTTTGCTTATGCCTCCTTGATAATGGCTATGCAACTCTTCCTGTTATCTCAGGATCCTGTTAAGAGTACAGCTCTAAAACTCAGTTTAATAGTTCTGAGGCCGGCTGGTAGTAAGGTTTCCCGAACTCTGTGGTAGCTCTCAGAGAGGCTGATTCCATCAACAGCTGCAAAATATCAGAGTATTAACAGTGCCATCTTGCGCATGGATGGTGTCCTTGTTAATGCTTTTGGTGTGCATTATCATATAAGGAGCTCTATGTCACGGCTTAGGGTTAATTAACAGGACTGAGACAACTGCATAGCTCATTGATTAGGAGACTGTGCTCTATCTATGGATGAGTCTAATTAAACCCAAATCATGACCAAAGTAAAGAAAAATTTTAAACCTAAAAAACCATCCCCACCCCACAAAAGATATATTAAATGTTTTAATATATCTTTTACAAATATTCGCGGTCTGCGAAGCAACTTTCCGTCAGTTGAGTCTTACCTCCAGCAAAATTCACCAGACTTGTTTGCATTCAGTCAAACAAATTTAAATTCTGCAATTCCTTCTTCAGATGTAGGTGTTGATGGGTACTATCCTTTGATTCGTAAAGACTCCAATAGTCACATGCTAGGTTTAGGGGTATACATACGCATTAATTCCTCTATTTGTCGTGAAATCAGGTTCGAATCCTTTGACCGTTCTTTTATGTGCTTTCGCCTAGCACCTCTTCACTTTATCACCTTTCTCTTTGTTCTTTATCATTCTCCTTTTTCTCATGATTGCACTCTTTTAGATGTTATCTCTGATCAAATTGACCATGCCCTATCTTTTTACCCCTCTGCCACTATTGTTGTTGTTGGTGATTTTAATTCCCATCACACTGAATGGCTTGGCTCTAACACCACTGATCCCGCTAACACTAAAGCCTTTAACTTCTGCGTTTCTCAATCTCTTACTCAGATAGTTAACTTTGTGACTCGTTTTCCTGACAACCCTAATCATTTACCTTCACTTCTTGACTTATGTCTTGTCTCTGACCCTAGCTTATGTTTAGTTTCTCCCTTTTCTCCCTTAGGTAGTTCTGACCATGCAAAGATCTCTATAAATCTTTCTACTCGTACTTCTTTTTCGGGCTCACCTTATCATCGCAACACCTACTACTACCCTAAAGCTTTTTGATGGTCCTTGGGCTGATATTTTTTCTCTCTCAGCTGATAAATGCGCCTCCTACGTAACCTCCTGGATTTAGGCTGGAATGGAAGCTTTTATTCCTTCGCGTCGGTTTCAAGTCAAGCCCATGGTTTTCTCCTTCTTGTGCGGCTGCTATATCCAATCGTAATCATTTTTTTTATCTTTTTCAAAAGAACAACTCTCTTGAGAACAAACGGCTATTTATTATTGCAAGAAATTGATGTAAAAAGGTGCTTTCTGATGCTAAACTCCATTATTCTCAGTTCACTAAATCTCGCATCTTATCACAAAAGTTAGGCTCTAAAGACTTATGGAAAATCTTCAACAGCATTATTAACAAGAGTAGATCTAACATTCCATCTCTCATTCATGGGACTGATCTTATTACCTCTCCCAAGGATAAAGCAGAACTATTTGCAAAGAACTTTTCTTCTAATTCCACTCTTGAATCTTATGGCCATTCTCTTCCTTCCATTCCAGTCAAACAGGTTGACCCATTGTTAGACATTCAAATCACTCCGGCCTCTGTTGCTAAAGTCATATCTCAATTAAACTCGTCTACAACTTGTGGTCCAGACAACATTCCTGTCACAGTCTTGCAGAGTTGTTCACCTGAACTTTCTTCAATTCTCTCTAAACTATTTAACAAGTGTTTGACTGAGTCTTGTTTTCCTGCTTGTTGGAAAATGGCATCTGTGGTTCCAATATTCAAAAACTCTGGAGAAATTTCTGACCCCTCCAATTATCGTCCGATCAGTCTTCTTTCTGTTATTAGCAAGGTCTTTGAGTCTTTGATCAACAAATTCCTCACATCTCATCTTGATTCAAATAAACTACTGTCAGACAATCAATTAGGTTTTCGATCCTCTTGCTCTACGGCCGACTTGCTAACTGATGTAACTGAAAGATTTTATCGTGATTAGATGGAGGCGGTGAGGCTAGGGCTATTGCTCTTGACATATCTAAAGCTTTTGACAAAGTTTGGCATGCTGGTCTTCTCCATAAGCTTGCTTCATATGTTGTTTCAGGGAAAGTTTTTGAGATTATCAAATCATTTCTTTCTAACCGGTTTATTAAAGTCATCCTTGAAGGCCAACACTCTTCTTTATTTCCAGTAACTTCTGGGGTTCCCCAAGGTTCCATCCTGGGCCCTGTTTTGTTTCTTATCTACATAAATGATCTTTCTGACAACCTTTCATCTAAAGTAGCTCTTTTTGCTGATGACTCAACTTTATACTCCTGTCTTGACAAAAAGTCTTCTCTTTTCGATTGCCTAAAACAAGCAGCTCATTATGAATCCGATCTCACTTCAGTAATAGATTGGGGTTTACAGTGGCTTGTGAATTTCAACTCTAACAAAACCCAGTTGTTTACTGCAAACAACTACCGTAATATGGTCAACATTCCTATATTAATGAATGACAATCCTCTTACTGAGTCCTCCTTATTACGTCTTCTTGGATTATCGCTTACTACTGACCTTTCATGGAAACCATATACAGAATCGATTACTAAATTAGCTTCTGCTAAGGTTGCTTCTCTTTATCGTGCTCGCCATTTCCTTCTTCTGATTCCATTCACTACCTCTACAAATCTCTTATTCGTCCCTGTATGGAATGGAATACTGTTGTCATATTTGGGCTGGTTCTTTTAACGATTCACTTTCTCTTCTTGGCAAGGTCCAAAAACGCATTGTAAATGTTGTTGGACCTGGGCTATCTGCTAAGCTTGAGCCTCTTTCCCATCGTCGTAAAGTTGCATCTCTTTCTCTTTTCTACAAATACTATCATGGTCACTGCTCAAAGGAGTTATCATCTCTAGTTCCATCAACTAAAATTCATTCTCGTTTTACTCGTCATTCAGCTAAGTCTCATTCGTTTACTGTATCTGTCCCTGCATGCTCTAAAAACTTTTATTCACGTAGTTTTTTTCCCCGCACTTCAATCCTTTGGAACTCTCTCCCATCTTCATGTTTTCCTGACTCATACAACCTAGTAACTCCCAACTTAATAGTGGTTGCTTGCAGCCTTGTTGGGAGTGAATGCAAATAAAAATAAATATATATATATATATAAATATATATATATATATATATATATATATATATATATATATATATATATATATATATATATATATATATATATATATATATATATATATATATATATATATATATATATATATATAATGCAATTATTATTTTAAGAGTGCGTGCGAATTTGAACGACTAGTTTTTAAAAGAGTTTTTTGTCTTTTAGAAATTTTCTTGGCCCATTTATCCTGTTTGGCCTTGGGCAAATGTGGACTGTAGTTACATCCCATCTGCACGGTGGGTAAATTTTATATTTTAGTTATTAATTATCTTAAACGTAAACAAACACGAAATATGGCTTGTTAAGTATAACCCGGCCGGCACAAGTTGTTCAAGAAGGAAAGGTACACAACAGAAGAAAAAAAGGTAGACAAGAAAATTAGAAGGTTATTTATTGCGAGAGAAATTAATAAAATTAAATAGTAGGGAGCTCAACTTATTTGGTATTTAATGGTATATACAAATTTGAATATAAAATAAATTGAGAATATTGTATGAACTGTCTCAAAATCGTTTGAACTGTATAATATAATTTTTAATGATAAAAAGTACATTAAATAGTTATGTTTTTTAGGTT